GTGTGTGTGTGTGTGTGTGTGTGTATGTTTGCGCGCACGCGCGCGCGTGTGTATGTGTAATCGGTGGAACAGGAAGAAAGTGTAGCACTTTCGTACTTGTGATAGGCCATCTCGCTCCAGCGCCTGCGGGCGACCAAACTAATGGCAGGCTGCCATTTCCTGGGAAGTGAAACTGCAGTGATGCACGTAGCATGGGAATAATGGCTTGCTGGAAAAAAGTCAAAGTAGGAATAGAGTCATTCTTTATGGGGTTTTTTTTGTTTCTTTGTTTGTTGTTGTTGGAGATTTTGTTGTTGTTGTTGTTGTTTTTGGGAGGGGTGTTTTTTGTCGATGGTTTGTAGGGGGTTGTTTCTTTGGGAGGGGAGGGGGATGGTTTGGGTTTTTGTTCGTTTATTTGTTTGTTGTGGGGTTTTCTTTTTTTATATATTTATTTGTTTGTTTCCCGGGGGGGGGGGCACTAGATTTTTAGAGGTATTTCTTTGTTTTTGTTTTTGTTTTTGTTTTTTGTTTTTGCTTTTGGGGGAGGCAACCGTCTTCCAGGAAACAAACAAAAGTATAGAATTGTTCTACATATATCACTACTTAGATTATTTCAGCTCAGGTAATCAACCCGGTCCACGTTACGTGTGTCTAGGCAGTTTCACGTTTCAAGGAACTGCCAGTCTAGTCCCCTCACAATGACGATCTGCCGTGTCATCAGCCAGCCGAGATGGCAGCGAACACTCTAGAATCAATTATTGTAATCAGTCTATCGCAGCGTCCAGGTTTCAGTCAACTAAAAAACCACAAAGTTCCTTATGAGTTTAACTCAGAGTCTTAACTATAGATTTTATTTTTTACTAGCTCCAAAAATTACAAGTTTAAGTCACTTACTTAACTGTAGGTTTTCTTTTTTCTAGATCCAAACATTAAAAGGTTAAGTCAGTGATTAAATATAAATAGTCCTTTTAATTGTGTCATTTTTTTTTTAATTCAAAGAACCAGTCATAGTTGGTGGTAAAGACAATTGGTTCAATATACCTAAAAGTCCATTAACAACACAAGTTCACGTATGCTTTACCTAAGCTGTGAACGAGGTTCAAAAGGCACCTAATGGGCTCTTGACTTTGATTGTCTCCGAAGACAATTGTTTCGTTTCATTCTGTTTTACTGGCAGCATCTTGCTTTGTTTATGTGTGTTTGTTTGATCTATGTCGTATGTTGGTGCCATTCATAGCATAATAGAGAAAATAAATACTTGTAGGTCTTTTCTGGGCGAAGCGTAACAATGGTTAGAGTAAAGATAATGAAAAAGGCAAGACAAACAGTAGAGACAATACAAATATTTAACTTAGCACACACCCATGTACTGACATCTGTGGTGTAGTAGTCAGGCACCTAATAATACGTGCCTGCAGTCTATTTAAAGAAGGGCCAACCCAGGCAGAGAGGGATACAACGCCCCACAAAGACGGAGATACTCAATCAAAACATTCCCCCTAGAAGAAATCAAACTCACGTCTTCGGCGTGCGACGATGAAGTGCCTGACCACATCACCACTGACGCCGGCCTACATCATATTTTGTTGTTCTGTATGTGTTTTTACGCCGCAATCGATACAATTTAGATCATTTAATTTTAGCAGGCGGACTTCTGACCTCGCCTGATAGAGCCAACCTGGGTTAAGACAGCCTCAAATTTCAGCAGAAATACCTAGATACTCGATAAAAATTACATCATCCCTTCGGGGAAATAGAACTCGGGTATTTGGCGTGCGACGATGAAGCGCCTGGCCGCTACACCACAGACTCCGGTCTCAAACCATCTTGATAAAGCACACATCTGACCAAATGGTAAAAACCAAGCTGGTAGACACTGTACTTCAATGCAACAACATCGGGCGTCAACTTCACACAATGACTCAATAATTGCAAAGATACCCGCCTGTTTTTGATAAGCCCCTGGTTTATTCCTCAGATTAACAATTACCTTTTTTCGTATCCTGTTCTTGCACAGGTATTATTATTTCATCGATTTTCTTCCACTGGTTTTTCAAGGTTTTTTAAAACCCGAAATAGATCCGAAAAGGACCAAATACGTAAAGGTTGCCTTTCATGAAACCAATTTGTTTCTCAGTAAGAGTTTTACGGCGCTCGCAACTGGATAAGGTCATACGAGCGCGTTGAAACCAATTGTGTTGAAAGAGGTGTAAAAAATGTAACTATAAGACGAAGTGAAACATTACATGTCCAAGTGTTGCGTCCTCAGACACAAGAAGGAGACCAAGGACAGCGAGCTGGTGAAGGACGACCAGCTCAAGGACCAGTACTACGACAACCCCATCGGAGGCTTCGGGGAGCAGAACAGCCGTTACCCTGACCCTTACCGCTACCCGCCTCTGCCTGGCTCAGGCAAGGGGCAGAGCTTTGACCCTTACACTAACCCTTATGCTTAAATCTACAGACGCCTTGATCGGGGAGAAGTTTGTTGTGTAGGTCCACACACTGATGGAGATATATATTTTACATTACATCAGACGTTTTGGTAAATTACATTTCCTCAAATGAAAAATCTCGTAAATGGTTACATTTTTAACATCCCTGTACGTGTATTTTATGCTTTTGGATTTTTTTTTCTTGTTGATATCTTGATATCTTGATTGTTTTAGTTTTTGTAAAACGACGTGAGAAAGGGGGGGGGGATAGTGGCGTGTGTTTCTTTTCTTTGAGTGTTCGACTGATAATGTTATTCTATTTCAATGGGCCGAAATAACGATTTTGTAATTAGCAGGCTAGACATGGGAGTTAATGAGCATTCGTTACAAACTTTAAGGATCTGAGTTGGGTGAGGTGGTGCGGAGAGGAAGGTCACGATCAAAATATACACTGTAACTGTTTTATAGTGTCTGTTTGCCTTTCTCAAAATATCACAAAAGCTAAACTTGAATTACGTGAATATAGAAGGTTGTTTTTTTGTTGTTGTTTTTTTTAATGACGAGTAAAAAATCTAATATTTCACTTTGAAGACAACGTTCAGCAACTTGAGGTTTTATTTTATGAAATGTCTCTAATGAGGTGACACATTATTCATCGAAATCATAAAAAACGAATCACCTGCAAAGACCGGGGGCGAACTATGAGCTCAACTGTTGGCCATGCTCATTGACTTGAAGTATAATGACTAGACCATGTAGGCTTATTGTCATGGCCGCCGCTCTTAGCTCTCGAATTTTTTTAACTTATTTGTTTAGCGTGGGCACTTCGAACGCCTAAAACACCATTTTCATTTTAGTCCAGTGTATGAGGCTCCTTTCTCTTAATTTGGCTCTAATTTAGTCAAATGATACGCTTCTTAGTGAACTGGATTTGTTTCCAAGTGCATGATCTAAAGATTATAATGTTATAATTCAAGTCAAAGGTATTACTTCTAGGCAGTGGTGCGGGAGACAATGGTTCGAAATCCCAACACGACATTTCTGAATATGTGTTGGTATAGAAACTTTCATGGATCTCAGAAGTCTTTGTTTCTATCGGAGAAAGACGTAACATCCCTGATGTCTCGATATTGTTGTGATAATTGTTGTTAAGGGACGATAGAGTGACGATGAAGTCGCTGACCTCAGAGCTTGTATGTTGTCGTTGATTTGATGTTCTATGTGTACTCTTATGAAGGTTTTTGATAAATACAAATTATCGATTTATGATAAGGGTCTAGATCTATTCATCTTACAAAAATTGTGCTATCATCGAGGGCATAGATGTGTTATATCATCCATCATCACAGCAGCGTAGGTTATCTTTGCTACTCATCGGGATTCCAGTAGCATGCATATTGCAAACATTGATGTCATTTATATTCACTGATCTTAAGATGGAATTGTAGAAGGATAATAGATCTCTATTTTATCGTTACTAGACTTTTTCTATTGATTTTTCATGACATCCTCTTGTAAGCAAAGCCCAAAGTATGGAGAATTGATTGTAGATGGCGCAAGCTGGCAGGTTACACGGAACCAATTAATCCTATTTAGCTTTTTACTTAAAATGCGCACCTGTTGTACGAACCACAAACTATTAGTAATAATCATTACTTCGCAAAATCCCCCGCTATGCTCTACACCTAGCCTCTGCCATCTCACACTGACTACTTTTCAAAACAGTTTGGCGACCAAGATTTGGGGATCTGTGGGCCTCAAGAATATTCCGGCGTCAAATACACCTTTCAGGTTAAACATAGAACAGTTGCAAAGACAACAGACAATTGCACGTAGAGCTTTCTGGCAATTTAGAAGTGACCTCTAGGCACATAGACACATCTAGAAAGTTACTGTCCTTCTTAGCAGTTCATTGTAAATGGCCCAGTTTGGTTTTTTTAATCGGCAAATCTATCTGCCACTTTAGAGTTCTGTACGCTGTTTCGGTCTCAACAGTTTAGTTCTGTGACCTCTGATCTGCTTATGGCGCATAAAGTTTTTGTCCCAATCCCAAACTATGCAGCTTGAGAGAGAAGCAGGAAAAAATATATATTCTCTAATGTTGATTGACTTGTGAATAACAAAAGAAAATGGAAATTGATTAAATGTACTCCCATTTTGTTTAAGCAAAGTGGGAATCAATTTTATTTCGTAGGCAATAATTATTTATGTTCTTTTTTTATTCTTCTTGCACTCGGCGAAAAGGTTCACTTGCGCAAATTACTCCGTCGTTCTATCTCGATACGCCACATTATGATGGTATCCACAGGCGCCACAATTCACAAAATATAAATTGTTTATTGCGTTGCCAAGGGACTATCGAACTTTCTTCACATAACTGGCATCCAACATTATAGGCGTGCTTTTGTAACGCGTTCTTAAAAACAATTTGATTCGCTGCTGCGGCGTTCTCTGTCCCAGATTTTGATTTTTTATCTTCTTAATCAAAATATTTTATCCTAAATTCGTTTTTCTATTTCGGGTTGGAGGAGGGGCGCACATGCGGGATTAGCGCATAGAGTTTCTTTTTTTTCTTTTTTTTTTTTTTAAACGCAGAATGTCAACATAACGCTAGACACCGGTATGAAAATTAGTGTTGGGCGGGTCTTTTGGTTGAGTTTTTTTAAGAGGGTGAGGGGAAGGGGGGGGGGGTGGATAACAGAACACGGTTGTGAGTTTGTTCTCAGTGCATTGACCCCTTATTCAGCATTTTCACTAGAAATGAATATTTTACTTCATAAACCAGATACAATTGGGCTTATCGATAGTTAAAACGGAACACTTCAACACTATTTAAGAAGACAGCCTTGGCTTTTCGAAAGGCCGAAGTATATTGTTACTAATACCATTCTTTCACTGGATCAATATTCCATCCCATACCTCAGTTTCTTTCTTGCCCTGCGTTCAACTACTGTCCTGTCCATTTCGATTGCTTTTGGTTATGGAAATGCTTCTCCTTATTTCACTTTTCTGTCCAAGTGCCTCGCCTCAAATGTGCTCTTCATCATCCTATATTATTATACTGTTGTTCTTACAAGCAAAAGAAATGGTACGCCGATATCTTACTGGACCATAGAGAGGGTGGCCCCATTTTTCTTGAATTTGTGTTGTTTGGGAGTTCTTTAACTTTAAGGCTGTCCGTCAACTTGGCTTGGTCCCATTGGAAAAGAGCGAAAGATTCAGATGTTTTAATCTCTTAGCCTACCCGACACAGCTGGCATGTGCTTTAAAGCCATACTGCACAAACAAGCAAAAGAGCCTCCGGTGCCATGTTTTTGTTCTGAAAAATTGGTCGCTTTTAAGCACAAGGGGGCTATCCCGAGAAATGCTGTTTTCATAAAAATCGAAGGTAAAGTTTTTGCCCCTTGCTCAGTTTCTTTAAAAGACAGGGAGGGTTTTCTCAATAACCAAACAAATATACACCCCAATGAAACCAAACTTCTCCTATAGGTAGGACAATGCCTACTTTTGGTGTAGGTCAAAAAAAATGTGGGTTAGCCCGCTTGTCCTTAAAAGCCATCAATTGTCTCTAACTCTAAGGAAGGCTCTCCTCACCAGCGTCAGTTATGCAATGGTTAGGCCCCCAGCCGTTGTGTGCAGCAGCTGGGTCCGATTCCCAAGCTGGCTATGTCTACTTTATCAAGTACGATTTTCTGTTTTAATCTTTGATTCTGAAATACACTTCGTGAGGTATTGCCTGGTTGAGCAGGATCGAAGTAGCCCGCCTCCTTAAAAATTGAAATTATGCCAATAGGGGTGTTAACTATTAAATAGTTTAAAAGTATAAAATTTTTATAATCAATCCAGCCTTTTCTTTTCCACCATTTCTCCTAGCATCGCTTCCTTAGCGAGAATAGTCTGAACTGAAGAAATGAAAAGAGTCAAGTCATAGTTTATATCCACGATGCTACTGGTGATTCTGTGGTGAGGAACATCGTAACACTGTCAAACAATTTAACACAATTTGACTGATCATAACAGGCATGTAGTTTCGTGTTTTAGTGATTAGTCTGTGTCACCCGTTTAAGGCACTCAAAGAAGGAGTATATTTTCCTACAATGTATAACTTGGTACAAAGCCTTTTACTGCGCCTTTCTCTGCCTTGTATCTATTTTTTTCTGCAGAAGGGGAAAAAAACCACGATGGCTAGTTAGAAATGAAAGGCTCAGAGGGAAAAGTAGGACCTACCAGGGTTGTGTATTCCTCCTGTAGAGTTTCAGGATTGTATACTCTATAATTTAAAATCTCTCATGTTTAAGAAAATGTCTACTTTGAACCAGTTACAAGCATTTATTAAGACAAGACGCTGATTTAGTGAAACACAATTCATTTTGACAATGTAATAACTGTCAGTACTCTCTTACAGATCGAAGATTGGGCGCTATCACTTCTAAAAATAAATGTCTTTTACCTCATTAAGGACGAAGTGGGCACATGTGTCCGATAAGCAGCTAAAAAGGCAATGTTTCGACGCCTTTCGAAGTATCATACACAAATCAGAAACTCAAATTGGCATAGACCTAAATACATTAATGTATGTTGTTGCCTGTCGTTTTACGTTCTTGATAAAAGAAATGGAATCGAAAAATTTGAGCAGATAAGGAAGCTGTTCATCTTTTTTTATTTTCAAAGTGCCCCAAAATAGCGTGTCTTTAAACATTGTTAAGTGATGGCCAGACTGCGGGTCGTCAATGAGTTAATAAAAGCATCATCCTCAACAACAACAACAACGCCAAGTATTTGTGACTTGCGGGGGTCTATTAAAGGCGCTCTATTATTATTTCTTGGTCTGACTAACCCCACTAAACGGTTCATACACGATTGTGAGAGCTGGAGAATTTTGATTTTCCTCTGAAATTGATGAGTAATTCTCCTTATATTACAATTTACAATAAAGTGGTGCCCGTCCTAGAACATTTTCTCTTGTTGTACTGTCTTCTTCTTTCCAATGTCGTGAGTGTTTGTGAATTTTGAGTGTCACATACCAATTGCATGTTTGTGTATTCTGCATTATGTTGTTTCTCGCCCCTTTTAACACTATAAGGTCATTTAAGAGGTGATACCTCCGAATTTAACGCCCATCTCCAATTGGGGGGGGGGGGGGGGGCAAACGTGTGGAGAGCCTCAGAGACTCCCCAAAACTACAGTTGGAGATTTGAACCAGGACCATTGCTGACAATGACATGTCGACGATGTTTCCATTGACAATGGCATTGTCGTTTGATCCTCTAGAACTATGTTCAATTTAAAAAAAAGTTTTATCAAATGCACACAGCACTGCTCATCAGATTTTCCCTAAAAACTAGTCGTGGGGTTCCAGAAATATAGAAATTCCATTCTCCAAATTACGTCGTTGTACGATATTCCTTCAGAGTCAGGGTAAAGACTGATTGATGAACGCCCCACGTACACAAACACGATCATTGAGGGGGCTGACATGGACACAGTGTCCCAACAGAAGGACCAATAGAGACTCGATAAAAAATATCCCCACAAGGGAATCAAACTCGGGTCTTCTGCATGCAACAGCAAAGCGCCTACCGCTATATCACAGACACCCGCTTTAATGGTAAGTAGAACATACGGCACATCTGCAAGCGTTTGAAACATGCTGTATAAGCCCCTGAGTAGCAACTCCCAAATTAGTGGAACGAAAATTTGGAGAAAAACACTTACAGCGCCCAGCTAAATAATTAAATGAACACAGTTCCCGTTCATTGCTGAATGCTTTTCGTCGTTACAATCTACTTGGCGGTCAAGGTTCAAGCCGGACAATTTGTGTCACGACGCGGTGGAATCAGGCACTCGTCAATTTTTGGGCATACGGGGTTATTGGTATCATCTTAAGGCCTGTTCATATGTCTTGCTTTCGCTGAAAAAAATATCCATTTATCTTGGGTACAAGTCGAGATATTGGTGATAGAAGGAGGTGGAGTCACCTGGTTTCAGGGGAAAAATTAGCAAGAAAATGGACGCCAAAGTTTAGTTATTTCCTTAGCTTAAGAGTTCGTGGAAACTGAAATTTTACTTTTTTTTGTGCCTTTAATCGACATTTTTCAGTAAAATTCACACATGTTCTTTAATGGGCATGAAAGGTGTTGAGCGAAAAAACAACAATTCGATAAAAATTCACAAATTTGCTGGAAAATTCCAGTTTCTTCACTTTGATTATTTTAACGAGCGCCTGATTTCACCACGCTGCCTCACATTTGAATGGGTCTTAAAAGAAGTTGTTTGTAATCGCTTACGCCATTCGACTTTTATGATAATGAATATATATTTACTCATATTTAACCTTGTGCAAATTCAGAAGCCCCCCCCCCTCCCCCTCCCTGGGCCACAAAATTAAAGACTTGTGAACACGTAAGAGTGCGCGCTACAGCCACGTACCTTTAGCGGAAACCCCTGGCACCACGATTGTTCCCCACTCCGTAATTACACTACCTACCCCAGAACTCAACAAAGCAAAACAAAACGTTGAGTAAATAAAAAGACTGGTTAATTAATAAACTTCTTTGATGAAGAAAAATATGAATAAATCATCATATATCTACCCAAAAAGTAAATATAAAAATACATCCACGAAAATAGAAGAAATTCATTTTAGTTTTAATTTTTAAAAAACATCCAATCAGAGATGAGATAACAAAAATAGATTGTTGTCAGGATTCATGACACTCATTGGCTTTTACGTATTTTAATGTACAATAGCGAGCATATCACTTCCGGCCTCTCCCCTCGACAGACGCCGGATCGAAGACACTGTCGCCCAATGTGCCCATGTACCCGCCCCAAATCTGCTCGTTGGCGGGGCGAAACCGTAGTGACGTCATCGGCTCAGCTCCCTTGGAGGACTGGAACTTGAGTCTGTCGTGTACAGTGACGTTGATGGGCGTGGCTTGATGCTGAGACAGGAGGTCGTCGAGACTGAACTTGTAGAGGTCTGTCTCGAACTTCATCTTGACGAAGTAGGCGTGGCTGTCTCGGATCACGCCTACCGACACCACGTTCACGATCACGTCCAGGCGGCCGTCACCGTCAACGTCACCGATAGCACCTGGAGAGTTTACACATTCAATTACACAACACAAAGTCCTTATTTTATTGCAGTAATATCTCAAATATGACGTCCATTTCCGACGATATCGAACGAATTGGGAGAAAGGAAAGCGAGGAAACCTAGACAGAGTTTAAGCTTACTCTTTTGAGGACTGGAACATGGTCGCAGTACTGCATCTGGTGCTATGCTGAATTGCCCCAATGAGATAACCGGTTGGGGGGGGGGGCTTCAGGGTGTTTTTTCAGGGGGGTGTTTGTTTGTTTTGTTTATTTGTTCGTCTGTTTGTTTGTGCGTTTGTTTCTTTGTTTAGTGGTTGGTATTGTGTGAGGTTGGCCACTAAAATCCCTCTTAGCATTGTAAGCATTATTTGAAATATGGGACCTGCGCTAAAACAGAGTACATATTCGACAAGAAAGTGTTACGTAGCTCGATAGCTTTGAAAACTCCCCAAAAAATCCAAATTCCAGAACTGCCTTTGAGTATTTGAATTAAGATCTTAGACACCATTACCCGGCATTCTATCAACTGTGTCTACAGTGTGTAAAGCTGACATCTGCTGTTAGTCTGGGTTCTTTATTTATTGTATGTGTGTTACGTCTCTTTTGGCGAAACTTTCTTTGTTTGGGATGCAGATTGCTTCGAGCTCAGAACAACGTGTTGAACATTAATGATGATGATGATGATGATGATGATGATGATGATGATGATGATGATGATGATGAGGAGGAGGAGGAGGAGGAGGAGGATTTTTTGTTATTAATATGTTCCTGATTGCTGATTAAGCCGTTCGACGAAACGTTGAAAGCATTAATATAAATATATTTTGGAAATCCTAGATCTACTAAATCAACTTTTTTTGGTTCTCTGTTTACAATGATGATGATGATATTTGGTGGGTGCTGTGATGTGGTTTGCTCCTTCTTTCCTATCAAATATCTGTCGTCCTGATCACAGAAAGTAGAGACCTCTGACGATGATGATGATGATGATGATGATGATGATGATGATGATGATGAAGATGATGATGATGATGATGATGATGATGATGATGATGATGATGATGATGATGACAATAACAACTCGTCCTCTTACCCGTCGTCCTCTCATCCGGCTGTTTGAGTATGCAGTACGGTAGGAGGTCGTCTCGCTTTTGCACTGACCGCTCCTGCCTCTTGCCCCTGGACCAGGGCACCTCGTTCTCCGTCATGGTGTAGTTCACGCCGTAGTGGGCCATCACCTCCTCCACACGCTGCTTGTCCCGGGCTGTCAGCTCTGGTGGTGTGTGTGGGGGGGGGGCGGAGGGGTGTTGTGGGGGTAAGGATGGGGAAAGGAATGATAATGGCAATGATGGCGGCAATAATAATAATAATAATAATAATAATAATAATAATAATAATAATAATATTAATAGTAGCAATAGTAATAATAACAATAATAATAATAACAATAATAATAATAATAACAGTAATAATAATAATAATAATAATAATAATAATAATATTAATAATAATAATAATAATAATAATAATAATAATAATAATAATAATAATAATAACAGTAATAATAGTAATAAAATGATGATGATAAAAATAATAGTAATGATGATAACGATAAAGATAATAATAATGAGCGAGAGTTTGTACGATACAAATGCTTCTTCTTCTCATTATCATTATCTTTATCGTTATCATCATTATTATTGTTATTATTATCTATGTGCTTTACAATCAATATAAATATAGTAGGGTAAGCTACGAAACAGTAAAGCAAAGTAAGAAATATTGGGAAGAGATAGTAGGGAAAGGTAAGAAACAGCAAGGTAAGGCGAGATATGATGGGAAGAAATATACTGAGTTGCAAAAGTTCTGTCACACCCATTATATTACGATAACTTTCGGCACAGTATAAGAATTGCAGTAAAAATTGAAAGTACAATTTGTGTGACTTATGAGACTCATTGTGCAAGAGCAGACGAAAGAAATCATAAACCGGAAGCAGTGCGTGGACAAAGTGTTGGTATTGATTTCTCTAGGTCTACGTTGAAATCAACGCTTTCTTCACACAATATTTGCTTTGAATCACGTGGACAATGTGTAAACACACCTTACACACTGTAAAATTCCGCACTTTTTAACGGTTGGGTTCTTTTTACATGTTTTTCAAAATATAACAACTGGCAAATTCAGAAAATAAAGGGGCTGTGTGTATGATAAATTCTTTAATTACGCTTTCTGCTCTTGCAAGACACGTAAACGTGTATAGAAGGACCATATAACGCTTGAACAAACGTTTTAACACCACTAGAATTGTCCGAGACAAGCCTAGACGTGGCCAACCAAGCGCGACAACTCGACACCTGAATTGGGTTATTGTTAACACCCATGTACGAAACCCGTTCCAACTAAGTGCAGAGACTGCCAGGTACATCGGACTATCTTAAAACACCATTGCTAGACATTTATAAGATCGTGGATTTCGTGATTATCGCCCTTTGTGTGGAGCCATTCTTATCCTGTTCCATAGAAGAAATCGCCAAATTTTGGCACAACAACATTGGCGATGAAACTAAAGACGTTGATAAAGTGTTCTTTTAAGCAATGGTTAAGGTTGCGTTTATGGAAGAGAAAAGGTGTTTAAAATAAGAGGATAGAGATTTCCCTAATCCAACGTCCCCCAAGAGGCCCGGATCTGTGGCTGAAATGTGATGGTATAGGGTGAAATCTCTCATCTTTATCGTACACATTTGGCTACTTTTCAAAGCAACCTCAAAGGACGACGGTATTGTGACGAAATTCTTCGTCACGGTGACTGCCCTTCATGGCACAGATTGTGGAATCTGCTAACAAGACAACGCCCGATCACAAATGGCTACGATCAGTGAAAACTCCTTCCAAACTTATCAAATCGTTGTTCTGAACTGGCCTGCGAAATCAACAAGCCTTAACCTAACAGAACATCTGTAAGATGACCTTGACTGGATGATTAGAAACAGGCCGCACTCCGTATAAACTCGTCAGGAGCTGAAGACTGCACTTCACAAAGAATGGCAGGGGATTCTTAAACAACCATAAGGACATTAATTCAGTCAACGAACAGATGTTTGGTATTGGTAATTCAAACTGGAAGAGGCCACACGCCATATTGAGCAAACTTTGATTTGGAGAATAAAATTATTTCCCTAGAATAAAGAAAAACATTTGTAAATTCTTTTCATGTCATGTTGGCAGAAAATGAATAAAGATTTCGTGTACCAAATTTGTCTTAGTTATGTTGAATAGTGTAAAGTAAGAGACAGAAAAAAACATGTAAGAAACTGAGGGAAGAGACCTTGTCTGAGGTAAGTGAAAAGGCGATCGGTTTTGGCAGCTGGTCTATTTATAGTGTGCACTGAAGCCACAAGAAACCCAACCGAAGAAACCGATCCTCCAATGGGCACCGTCTATATAAAAAAAATAGTGAGGACTTCGAGCAAACTCTGAGCATGTTTTTAACATTTCAAAGACTACACCCGTGGCGCCGTAAGATCATCGAACTAGACGAAATTTTATTCAAAACCTCTTCGGTTACCTTCAGTAAATGTCCCTTCAACAATGCCCACCCGATGAGACGCTGAGAGAGTAGGGAGGCGTAGCAATCAGAGCTCGGGGAGATGGGGAGAAAGCTGGGTGTGGGGAGCGGGGAGTGGGAGGGAGAGAGAGAGAGAGAGAGAGAGAGAGAGAGAGAGAGAGAGAGAGAGAGAGAGAGAGAGAGAGAGAGAGAGAAAGAGAGAGAGACAGACAGACAGACAGACAGAGAGAGAGAGACAAAGAGAGAGAGAGAGAGAGAGAATAGGTCTACTGCACCAACACCAGACTCGGTGGTGTAAGGGTAAGTTTTATCGCCACGAACTCAGTAGAGTTTAAATCGATTCTCGGTAGGGAAAGTATTGTATCAAGTATCTCTGTCTGTGGCGATGGAATTAAGATTTTAACCTTTTGAAATCCTCTTTTAATTGCATCCTTAATTTCGCTTGAGTTCTTCAAAAATAATTCTATTTTCACAAGGTTCATACGTACCAGCAAGTAACATATGTTAGGATATTGTTATTATAAATTATATATGTACATATATAATATATATATATATATATATATATATATATATATATATATAATATATATATATTATATATATATATATATATATATATATATATATATATATATATATATATATATATATATATATATATATATTATAATAATAATAAGAGCATTTGTATCCCGCCTTTCCCCACAGCATGGGCCCAAGGCGTACATAGGAGATTAAAAACGCATTCATACTAACACTATACAAATTCATCATGTGCGCACTTTTTGACAGCAACATTCTTTCAGACAATAAAAAATGCTCATACAAAAAGGCAAAGGTAATGTCCATTAATTAAAATATGTCTTAAATAGACGTGTTTTGAGTCCCATTTTGAAGGTATCAAGTTTTATTTCGCTCCTCAAATCATGAGGGAGAGTGTTCCAAACTGTTGGCCCAGAAAAAGAAAAAGCTCTCTCACCATATTTCTTCAGTGACACACGAGGTGTTGAAATTAGTCTAGAGCCATTGGACCTTAGTTCACGTGATGGTGTGTATGGTACAATGAGTTCTTGAATGTATGTGGGAGACTGGTTAGTTTGACCTTTGAAGTATAATAGCGCTAACTTATATTAAAATTCTCGCTTTCAGCGGAATCCAATGGAGCTCTTTAAGTAGGGGAGTCACATGTTAGCGTTTTGATTGCTTTAATACTAGCCTGGCAGCAATGTTTTGAATGCGTTGGAGTTTTGCGATGTTTTCTTCGGGTAGACCAGCGAACAGTGAATTCCAATAATCAATGCGTGACAAAATGAAGGCAAACACTTGTTTTTTGGTGGCATCAGTGCTAAGAAATTTCCTTATGTGAGCAATTCTTCTCATTTCTAAGTATGAAATTTTACATAGATGGTTAAGTTGAGTCTCCATGGACAAGTCTTTGTCTAAGTATACTCCTAGATTTTTTGCTTTGTTTGAAAAAAGCGACAGTACCTTTGCCAATGGTGAGACATTCTACATCAAGAGCATTTATCTTTGAGCTGGTTGAGCATGGCATGATTTCTGTTTTGTCATCATTTAATTTCAATTATTTATTTTCAGTCATCCTATAATTTATACAGATGGTTCAGTGAAAAGAGATAGCCAGAAAAGTGGATGGGGATTTGTTGCATTCGCCAACAATAAAATCATACACAGTGCATCTGGAGCCTGCAGCAGGACTACATCAAGTATGCGAATGGAAATTGAAGCCATCACGAAAACACTTGATTGGATGACCCAAGATTGCCCCCACACAACCCATGCTGTTCTTATCACTGATTCCATGTGTACCCTCAGAAGGATCGAAAAAGGTTTCCTGAGAACGGAATGGATTCAGGCTATCGAACCAACGCCTATACGATCGCTCACATGGATTTTCTGCCCTGGCCATGCAGGTGTTAGGGGAAATGAAAAAGCCGACAGATTGGCTGGTGAGGCCACCTTAGTTGACAATACGGTTCAACCAGATAGGGTCGAGATCCTGAAATGTCTTTCTCGCCAACTGATTGAGGAGGAGGATAGGGAGGCAGAGGCCAGTACTGCCGTGGAGAGGATGATGCTTTTGGGAATAAAAAAAGGAAGCGGAAAATCTGGCATCCTTGCAGGAAAGAACAGAAGAACGTTCAACCAGATGTGCACTGGCACAATCAGTAGAGGGACCCTCGGCAACATTTTGGAGAGAGCAACGGAGCATCAATGGACATGTCCGGAGTGCAGGGATGTTGCTTCCTGAAACAAGAACAAGAAGTCATCCATGCTTTTACATATTCAAAACATTCTGAGGTGTCTTTTAACAGAGATTGAATTTTGTTGGGTTTTGCAGACTTATAAAGTTGTGTGTCATCTGCGTACATATGGTAGGGCATGGAATGGTGTCTGATGGTACGACCAAGGGGTAAGGTGTACATAGTGCACAGCACAGGTCCTAGTACTGACCCCTGGGGCACACCAAATTCCAGCAATTGATGGCAGGATTGATCTATCACTCAGGTAAGATCGAAACCATTCAAGTACGGTGCCAGATATTCCGAACATGTCCGACAAACGACTAAACGTGATGTTGCGGTCTAAAGTATCAAATGCTGAAGACAGGTCTAAAAGTGAGAGAATGGCTATCAAACCCTCATCTGCAGCATTGAGTAGATCAGAGACAATTCTGAGCAAAGCAGTCTCAGTACTATGATTTTCTGTGTATGCCGATTGAAATGGCTCAAACAAGTTATTCTTTGTGAGGTGATCTTTAAGTTGTGCACGAACAACTTTTTCCAAAACTTTGGAAAGAAAAGGTAAGTTTGATACTGGACGGTAGTTCTTTAGGTCATTAGGGTCAAGGCCTGGCTTTTTAATCAGAGGTGAGATAGATGCTGTTTTGAAGCATCGTGGAACTGTACCCTCGCTTAATGATGTGTTTACAATTGAAGTTATAACATTAATAACATCGTCAATATGACTGTGCAATAAGTCAGTTGGCATTGGGTTTAAATGACAGGAATTTGGTGGGCATGCCATGACAGTGTCTTTCACAATTCACGACTAACTGACTTGAACGTTTCAAGAGGTTCACCATTAAATGGTTCAGACATTGGAATGTTACTTGTCTTGTTCTCTGAGTCTAATCCTTGCCGAATTTGGACAACCTTGTTATGGAAGTAAGTACAGAATTTGTCTGGCAGTGTTTCCATTGGAACATTGTTTGGCAAGATTTTTGTTTTGGCTTGTCCACTGAGTTCTTTTGATATCTTAAATAAAGCTTTTGAGGATGGACATTCAACAATTTTTGCAGAATAGTACTTTTTGCTATCGGTATTAGCACAAGATTTCACTTTATGGTTAAGCTGTTTGAACATTTGCTTGTGAACTGTCAATTTGGATTTCCTCCATCTTCTCTCAGCACGTCTTCGTTCCTGTTTGAGCAGTTTGAACTCCAAAGAGAGCCAAGGTGCAGACTGGCGGCTGGTGACAACATATACGTGTGTGTGTATTTGTGTTTTTGTGTAATTATATTATCATATTATTATATTTATTGATTACATACATTATATAAATAGCATCATGTTCATTTGACTGACTGTTCTTTATGCTTATTATCTCCAGAGACATTATGCAGGGTCCAGTACTCACTATAATAAAACTTTTCCGATCCCTTCTGCCAGAGCTTGAGCGGTCTGTCCAGTGAGGTCCGGTCAACAGCGAACATCTCCGTCAGGTACACCGTTTGGTCAGACTCACACTCCACGTAACTATTGTCGGACTGGGGCCGGGTTGTCGTAGGGGGGGGGGCGAAACAACAACATCACAGTTCCGAGTGTTTAGATTGAATTTGCTATTACTGAAGTAGGTTCAACTACACTAGATACCTAGCTGTATCGATCTCCTGTCCAAGGCAATCAGCTGTACACAAGACAGCTTTCCCACTTCCTCCTTTGTGTTTTATAATAATAATAACAATAATAATAATACTAATAATAACACCAATAATATAACTAATACTACTACTAATACTAATAATACTACTAACAATACTAATGATAACAACAACAACACCAACACAGGGCATTTTCTTTAAAACGAGAGGCTCTTATTATGTCCCGCAGTGACCAGTC